TCATGCTGGCCACATGACTATGGAAGTGTCTTCGAATAACACTGGCTCTCTTGGCTAAGAAACAGAGATGAGCATCGTGTCCTAGAGTTGGACACAACTAGACAGGGGAACCCTTTACCCTTAGCTTTACCTATTCTTGTATGTATTCCATGTCATAATAACAATTCCTACCATAAACTGCAGGTTAAGAATATTGTTCAAAAAAAACCACTGGGTGCTAAGTGAATATTGGCAGGTGGAAATCTCATTTTTTAATATAAAATTGTGTATGTGTATGTGTGCACATGCATATATATGAGCACACATACTCATAACTGCCTATAAGCCAAATGAATAAAATGTGGCATAAGAAAATAGTTGTAGTACAGAACAGGAGAAAGAGCAAAGAGAACAAGATGGCTGTGATTGGAATAATAAGCAAGAAGAAGAAAGTTACTCAGGTTGTCATCTTTACCTATTCCAGTGGTGGCGAACCTATGGCACGCGTGCCAGAGGCGGTACTTGGAGCCCTCTCTGTGGGGACGCGCGCCATGCCCCAGAGATGGCAACCGTCCTTCAACCAGCTGCCCGCTAACTCGCCGAGGTCCCACATGGCTAGATGCATCCCAGCATGGCTGGTTTCCCTCCCCCCTGTCCCATCCCTGCTGGCCTCACATGCTCTCCTTTTCCCGGGCACAACCCACTGCATTGCCTCCTCAGCTGTCGGCCATCTGTCCAGCTTAGAGGCGGCTTCTCTGAACTTCTGGGGGGGCTGCGGAGCCCCAGAGTGCGCCGGTCGAGGGGCCGGCAGGCTGTGGCTGCTGACGGACACTGTTGGCCCCCATGCGCTCGCTGGCCTCTGTGTGCGGGGGCCGATGGTGTCAGGTAGCAGCCGCCCTGGCCCCGGCCCCTGATTCGCCTTGCCCTGTGACAATACCATCCCAGCCCTGCCTCGCCTCACCCCGCAGGACGAGCCTCCTGCCCACTGCCCCACCTTCCAGAGACCCCCCTGGATCTCCCCCAATCCTGCCCGGTCCCCACAGGCATCCCTCCCCATGAGCAACATCGAGGTGACCACGCCCACCTTGGCCACACCCACCCAGTCTGCCATGACCGCCACGCCCATGCCCACCCAGTGGGCCACGCCCACCTGGCACCTGGTGATAAATAAGTGGGTTTTGGATTGCAGTTTGGGCACTCAGTCTCTAAAAGGTTCGCCATCACTGACCTATTCCATTATTTTTATGCATTAATATATAGATAAAATGAAGAAAATTAGGGCTACCAGATCTGGACTTGGTAGCAGCATTTGAATATACTGCATATGTTTCCTACCATCTAGTGGATGTGTGGATTTTTGCAGCTTAGAAGGAAAATTTCCTTAAGGAAATTAAACTTCAAAAGTTAATTAAAAACATAATCTATTTCTCCTACTCCCATTATAAGAAACACTTTGTCTAGGTACTCAAGAAGGATTCTATAATTTCTTGGTCCTGTCATTAATGATAATTGAACAGATCAGCACTTGCTGAATTGGATAAGATATTAATCCCTTATAAACAGACCCTTAAACTAGCATTTTCAGCTTTAATTTCAAGTGGGATGACTTCTAACCGCATTTGTAACAAACTAAGTTGATATCAGAACAATGACTCATGATGATATTATGTAAACACTCCAATCATGTATTTGCATTACATGTGAGTCGTGACAACTGTGGAATCATTACATACATGATATTTGTCCTTTGTGGACACCCATTATAAGATCAGATCAATTAAATGTGTATTGCTATAAAGGCATCACCTAGAAGGGTCTTAGAAGAAAAAGAAAGCATTCCACGGAACATGATGCAAAAATATCTCACTGAAATAAAACATTTTTTTTTTCCTTATGCTTAGATTGTATTGATTTCTGCATAAATTAGATAAACTGAATTGGATCATCTGACATTGGGTCAGTTTGACGAAAATGATGAAAATGATATAATTTCTGTGGTCTCCTTCATCTTAGTATGCAGATAATCCTTGTTTAACAAACACTTGTTCAGTGACCATTCAAAGTTATGAAGGCGCTGAATAAATGGTAATTAATGACTAGTGCTTGGTCTTCTGGCTATCCCAGCACTCCTATGGTCATGTGATAGTGATCTTGTAGGCCACCCACACACCCTCCCCTGCTCAGCAACAGCTGCGTCCCGTTGCACTTGTGTCTTGCTGATCACCTACATATCCTCCTGGCCAGGCAGCAGCCACTTACCTACCTGTCAGCCTGCTTGCAAGTTGCCTGGGACTTTCTTAATGATCCAGAATCCTTGCATAGTAATGGCAACGGGGAGTATCAGGATTGCCATCACTAAGTGATGCGGTCACTTTGTGGCCTCATAATTTAGCAACAGAAATTCTGGTCCCAATGACCATCATTAACTGAAGACTCCCTGTAATTTATAGTTAACCCAGAAGAAACATACTGAAGGGGGGAAAAATCAAACCATTATCAAATAGCTGTGTTGTTTTACTCTTCTATTTTAAAAACCTTTATTGTAGAGAAAGCTTGAATACATGACAGAATTTATGAAAGTGTTGGGAAGAGAAAATTAGTTACATTTTGGGCGTGAATATTTGATATTCTCTTCCTGAAAGTATTGTATAGATTATGATAGGAAAAAAACCAGCTCGTGTGCAGCTTTGTAAATTGTGGAGATGGATGAAGTGCTTTATGTGTTCTGTTTAATAATAGTATCCACTGTGAGAGAGGCAATAACTGCTCTGTCAGGTACGTGATATGAGAAAAATAGGGAGACACTTTACCATCTAGCTCAGTGGTTCTCAACCTTTTTAATGCCGTGACCCCAACCGGTCGTAAGTCGAGGACTAAACCGGTCGTAAGTCGAGGACTAAACCGGTCATAAGTCAAGGACTACCCAACCGGTCGTAAGTCAAGGACTTTCCCTGCCCGGGAGCGCCGTGCATGCGTGGTTCCGCCCCCTGCGCCGGCCGAGGCGTAGCTGGCAAGCGGCAGAGACGGAGCAGGCCGACCACCAGCTGGCCCAGCCCAAGGGAGGTAAGGCACCCGCCGGAAAAGGGGGAAAAAAATGGCGGAGAAAAAAAATGGTGGACAAAAAAATGGCGGACAGCCTTGCTTGGCGACCCCCGTGAAATGGTCGATCGACCCCAAATGGGGTCCCGACCCACAGGTTGAGAACCACTGATCTAGCTATTTGTCTATCTTTCATCCATTGCTCCATCTGGGTCTGCAGGAGGCTTCATCAGCTCCCTGGAGAAATGCTATCATCGCACATGCCCCTTTGTGAAGTTTTAAAGTAACCCTAAAGAGCCATGCTATTATCCTATAAAGGAAAGAAACTGGGGCTCTAATCTGCTTCTGTTGTGGCTGCATCGTCTTATTAGAGGTACCAGGGAGATGGGGGGAAAATAAGAAATGGAGGGAGTAACTATTAAGATACTAATTGTTAGAGGGAGAACAGTGGTAAGCTTCAATTGTTTTCCCACTATCCTGGACCTTGCAGGAAAAGAAGAGCAGGTGTCTGGCTAGTTTTTTCCCTCCCTCCCTCCCTTTCAAACAAATAAGTCAAAAGTGACAGAGAAGACAAGTGCTCTAACCTGAAAGTCCTTCTTTTAATTGTTATCCCTTGCAAGGAAAGGTCATGATGCAAAATTTAATCCTGGATGAAAGTGCTGACCTGGCATGTACCATGAAAACCTGGTTGAGAAAAGAATATAACAGATTAGGATGGGAAGCTGGAGAGGTGGCATGACCATGTCTATAGGAATTCCATCTTAGTGATCAGAAGTTCCATCTGAAAATATGTCCATTTCAAGTGTTTGCTTATATTGGGGGTAGGAAGGTGGGGTTAGACTTTTGGAATAGTGTAGAGTTAATATTAGTGTACAATCCAGTCTGCTCTACAATGATCTCCCTTGTGGATTTATATAGGGTGATTTTTAGTATGGTACTCCAGTTCCTTAAGGATTCTTATTCTGGGAGATTTCAGCACCCATGTAGAGGTTGTCCAGATAGGTGTGGGTCAAGTCTTCCATAGATGGCATGGTACTCATGAATCTGCCCCAGTTTGTTTTTGGTCCTCTGCATACAGCAGAGCACATGCTAGAATTGGTATTTTGTATAGCTAGGCCTGGTGTTTTGAGGATGTAGGATCTCTCTCATGCTGTCCTAGACTGATTACTTTCTGATCAGTTTTAGATATTTCTGTTGTGTGTTTGTTACAAACTTGTACAGTAGTTGAGAGGGTTAACTGATTTTACCGAGTCACCTGATCAACCAATATGATTTCTCAAATATATTTGAGGAATTTCTGTTACTACTTCTCTTGAAGCCCTGGCCAATCTGTGGAACTCCAAAATGAACCAGACAATTGACTTTATTGTTCCTAAGTGCCATCCTCCCTCTAACAGAAAAATCTTTACTTTATCATGCAGCTTTTTGTGCCTGCTTCTTTATTTTAACTTCCAAGGTTTTTACAGATGAAGTTTTTACATTAAAAAGAAATGATTTGAACCTTTTTTAAAAATGTAACTTTTTTGTTACTATATTTAAAGATATTATTTGCATCTTCATTTCTTTACATCTGCAGTCACTTTAGTAACATGTTGGAAAATATTGGGTGGGGAGGCTGAGTCATTTTACCCCTGTGGTTTATTTCCTTTCGGGATATAGTATATTTTGTACACAATTTACATTTTTTTAGCTTTCTGTTAGCTAGTGTTTCATATAACAGTATAAGTAATACTATGATAAAGTATCATCTTTCTATAACCAGACATGTTACATGCATTCAAATATTCTGATGGAGGCTACTGCAATTCTCCAGGCAAGAGTTAGCATACATCAGTGTGTAAGAGAGAATCATAGTTTGAAGCTAACTTAAAATATTTGCATGGGTTGTGTCATGGAGTGACTGTGAAAAACATAGGCCATTTTTATATTGGATCCGTAACATTGGTTTATATCCCTTTTGATGATAGCTAAAATTAGAGAAACAGCAACACTCCCAGAACATGACATCAGCAACTGATTTTGATCACTTGGAGATTCAGCCGCAGTATAGTCGAATCAATGCTCGATGGGAAGCCTCTGATGATGAGTTGGACAATGACAACAGTTCTGCCAGGCTCTTTGAGAGATCCCGGATCAAAGCTCTAGCAGGTAAATGTACTGCCATTTTGCAAACTGGGGCATTTATTAATAAACTGATCCCAAACTTTCTTTCTGAGGCAAGAATACATGCAACTGTGAACCTTTCCTTCTCTTCTTCTTTTCCTTTTCCTCCCTCTCTTTTTTTTTCTCTAACAGCAGTCTGAGAAATCTATTGTCATAGAATCAGGTCATACAAATCCACCTGCCTTCTGTTGCAGTTTATAGCTACTGGAATACCCTTCCGTTTTTTCATACTTCCAGATAGCCAGGAAAAAATAGAGGTTTTTTAAAACCTTGATATCTATCTATTCCTAGTAAAGCTTACTGGGTAATATTTCATGGACCTATTTTGAAGCTTCAGTGTCTCTGTGTGTGTGTGTGTGTGTGTGTGACTGAGACTGAATCCTTATTGCAGAATAGTGATAGAGCATCAGAGTATAGGTAGTCCTCGACCTATGACCATAAGTGAGGCCAAAATTTCTGTTGTCAAGTGAGACATTTGCTAAGTGAGATTTGCTCCATTTTACAACCTTTCTTGCCACAGTTAGTAAGTGAATCCCTGCAGTTGATAAGCTAGTAACCCTGTTGTTAAGTGAATCTGGCTTCCCCCATTAACTTTGCTTGTCAGAAGGTTGCAAAAGTTGATCACGTGACCCTGGGACAAAGCAACGGTCGTAAATATGAACCAGTTGCCAAGCATCTGAAGTTTGATCACATGTTCATGGGGATGCTGCAAAGGTCATAACTGTAAAGAATGGGCATAAGTGTCATATTTTTCAGTGCCATTGTAACTTTGAATGGTCACTAAATGAACTGTTGTAAGTCGAGGACTACCTGTATTTACAGTTAAGTATTAAGTTCATTTATCCTTAGTTCTAGAAATCTATTGGTCTCCCCTTCCCTATTAACCCTGCCTATTGCTGCAATGATTTTTTTTTCTTCTTCAGAGAGAGCTTGAAAGAAACTTTAAAAGTACATACATAAAATACCAGCCAGACGTTATGGGGGCAATGCTGGTGGAAGACAACTATCATGTCAGTCCATCAGCACAAATAAAGGTGCCAAAGGAGAGAAGCAACCAATGGCTGGATGAGAGAATGGGTATATGTCACAACTAAATATGGCTGAATACATCACAGCTCCTGATGATGTCATCACTTCAGTCATGAAGCACCAGAAATCATGCATATAAACTCCACTTTAATATCACATCAGCTAAATGCAAAGTTAGGTAAATTCAGTGAATAGCAGAGGATGAGGCAAAGTATCATGAGGAATTGACCTTAAAGGACAGCTAGCAAGACATCGTCATGTCTCTTTGAAGGGGAAATATGGATGATGTGATTTCAAATTTAGGATTCTTGAGTGCTCTACCTCTGTGAGGTGACTGAGAAACTTTAATAAATTATTCTCACTAGCTTAATCTTCTATTTGGGTTTGGTAACAATATAATTAAAATAGTATAATTAATCATAAAACAATAGAATAGCAATTAATTAAAAATTAAAACTTTAAAATCTACTCTGCCTTACCTCAGTTAGTGAAGACAGATGGAGAAGAGTAATTGAGAATGATCTAAATTCCTAATTAGATACATGTGGAAGGAAGTGATCCCTGATCTCAGGTCTTAGCCTATTAAAATGATCCTGATAACAGGTCTTAGCCTGTTAAAGATCAAAAACAGGATTTAAAACGGATTTAAACAAGAAGCCAATGCAGATAATAAAACACTAATATGTACATTTAAATTGCCCAGTTTCAGTTTAAAATCTAGCAACTATATTCTAAATTAAAGCTATATTTATACAATATTCTTAAGCCAGTCAAATACATATCTAGCAGATACATTTATAAAATGTTAAAACTGCTGTTAAGCTACAATAGTTTTTATATATTGTTTAGTTTGTTCTGGAAATCCAATACATTCAATTAGTTAATTATTTAGTGCATTGAATGAACATAGAAATTGGTTAGAAACTTGGTTGCTAACTTACAGCTTAAATGAGCCTCCTAGATTAGTTTTAAAGGAAGCCTGACACATAGCAACCTCGCAATAATCCTAATCTGATATAAAATGCTCTAAACCGCAGGAGCTTCTTGAGATTGTAAAGACAAGATAAATGAACGCTTATCCCCAAACTCAATACAACTATGAATTAGATTAAAAATAGGAAATAGAATTCGGTAGCATATTAGTGATATCTCAATCCAAATCTCAACATAATTTAATCCAGTGGCATTATTTACATAAAACATAATGTAATCAGATAACATGTAGGTGAATGAATGAAGTAAGAACCTGGGGATCTCCAAAACATAAATGTCAGAAATATGAGTAGTAATTTCCCAGTACCAACTTTTGATGCTGAAACATTGAAAAACAGTGTAATCAAATGAGCTTAATTAAACTTTTACTTTATCTTGACCAATTGGACACCTCTTTCCTATTAGAAATAATGAGCTAAAAAGGGTGATTGTTTCTTGTGGAAGCAATGATAATCATAAATATATATGCAATTTATATTTTAAATGAATTTTAAAATTCCAATGAATGGATAAGCACTGTATCTTTCTAATTAATTATTATTATTAATTTGATTTATATTTAATTACTGATTTAATTACTGAGTAGTCTGCTTTAACTTCAATAATAAAGGAAATTCTAGTGTAAGTTTCTTTCCCTCTACTGAAGGCTTGATTCTGCCATATAATTCAAGTCAGGAATTTTAACAAAATCTGAAATAGTATCTGAAAAACACTGAGGCAATGCTATGAAAATATTATTCGTTCTTCAGTTTTCCTTTGTATTACAACTCAGCAGTTTGATTAAATAGCTCTTTAAGCTTTGTGAAGTCAGGAGCTTATCAGAATAAAGGACAATTGAAAACAACAGCCCTGTGTACTTTTTCCCTGCAGAATAAATAAACTAGTAGCAGTCTGTTTCTAGAATGCCTTGGGAGAGAGATTAGGCAAAATGGAAAGAGTTCTGAGAACGTTAAAACATTCTAGAGAAAAAATAAAGTTAACTGCAAACATGCAACACATTTATAGATATATTTATCAGGGAGGCAAAATTGGTTGCTTCTCTCTGTTAACAAGTCACAATACAAGGAACCTATTTGCCATGACATACTGTATTGTATAAAATGATCCTAACAAAACCTGGATTGTTAAATACTGTTTGGTATGGCTGTATCCATAATCTGTTTGCTCAGATTGGTGTTTCAGAGCCTATATGATCTTCCATGACCATAGGACATACCCCATGGATAGTTATTGAGTAAAAAAATTGGAATTTCCTGTATCTCTTAGTTCATAGCCAAGAAGACACCAGGAAGTTTGTATAGAGGACATAATATTACAATGGGGAAAAATAGAGGAATATATCAGAAAATGAAATCTACTGAGGATTACAGAACAACAAAGATAAATTATGAATGGACCTATAACAGTAACGGAAGTTTCAGAAGCTATTAAAAAGATAAATTGGGAAAGGTGCCTGCTGGGCCAGATGGCTAATGAAGTCTGTATTATAAGTGTCTTGAGTATGAGCTCTTATATCTTCTACAAAGCTTGATAAACTCTATTGTACAGGAAGGAAAGATGCCAGAGACTTGGAAAGACACTAATGTTACCTTAACATCTAAAGAGGGAAAAGATTAGCAAGAAACCATAGACTAATATCACTATTGAATAATGATTATGCTATTTAAACAATTTTAGCCAAAAGTCTGAAAATAATTTTGCAAGAATTTATTCATGAAGATCAATGTGGGTTTTTAATCTAAAAGATAGTTAGAGGGCAATGTTAGAACTATGCTGGATATTTTGGAATATTCGGAACAACACAATAAAAAACAAGCCATGTTGTTCTCATTATGACATGGGCAGATATGCGCAGCTACCAGGATTGTGCAAATGGAAGAATATTGAATGTTGAATCTAGTTTTAAAGAATGTGATTTTCAGTTTAGGGAAAGTGAAATTAACACATAACTTGCTGGTTCTCATACACCTGTATTTATCCAAATTCTATCATGTTGGGGCAACCTGATAACTTCAATGTAAAACTCTATATCTCTTATACTTTGAATAATTAATTGCATAGCTTGATCGTAACCTAATGATATTAAGAATAGTGGAGAGAGCCCATATGAAGCCAGCTTATGCCTTATGGCTTGCTTCCAGGGCAAGGAAAAGTTATCTAACAGAACTAAAGGGGTCGGTCCAACTGAGAAGAACTGCATTTTGAGCCAGTAATTATCTTCATCTTCCAAACCCTGAGTATTTGGTGTTGGTTATAGCTAGGAAAAAACCATGGAACTCTATTTTTATATATGACAATTGCAGCAAGATTACTGCATCTCAAAAGTTTGATTATGCCCACAATAGTGGAATGGTTGGTGAAGATGTTTGAACTTGCAGAGGTGGCTAAATTGATTTTCTTGATTAGAGAAAAAGCAGTATGAAAACCTCTAATAGAGTTTTTTACATCAAACAGAAAAAAATGCAATTCTGCTTTTGATTATCAGGAAAAAAAGGTAATAAAAAAGTAAGCTTTTTGTAATCATAGAGTAAGATATAACAATTATATTTGCTGCAAAGGAAGTCAGAAACTTCTTTCTATTTTTTATCTTTTCTGTCTGCACTTTTGTCTATTTTTCTTTCCTTTTTCTTTTGTTTATTCTGTATTTGTATAATTTGTATGGTTTTTGTTAGATTTATTCTTTAAAACTTGTAATAAAATTTATATTAAAGAATTCCGTTATTTTGCATCCCAACTTCTGCAAACATGAGGAATATTAGCACCTGTTCTGGCCATGTCTCATTGCTCATTAGACACCCACAAGTACATATAGGGGTCAATGACGGGGCAGACAACATCACATCTGTTCAAGTTCCATAAGCTCTCTGTGTGTCCTCCAGAACACCAGAGGCTAAGAAGAAAGAATTATGTGGAAATAGTAAAGACAAAGTTTAACAAAACTCTTCTATGGCTTTTAATACTTTTTTTGATACTGTCCAGATGGCTAACCTTTCTCTGAAGTCCTAAAAATTGATTAGGATTTCTTTTTAAAAATGTTAATATTTTTATTTTCCACTAGGTTTCCCACTGTTTTCCTAGTTTTTCCAATAGGTAGTACACTGAAACTGGAATTTTGCTGAATTCACACAATTCTGTAGTGTTCATATGAATTAGTGTAGTTTAAGAGATTCTTTTTTTTCTAATTTCAGATGAGCGGGAAGGTGTGCAAAAGAAAACTTTTACAAAATGGGTGAACTCTCACCTGGCACGTGTAACCTGTCGCATTTCAGATCTTTATATGGACCTCAGAGATGGACGAATGCTAATTAAATTGCTGGAGGTGCTTTCTGGAGAGTTATTGGTAATGTTATTTTATTTCTCCACTTCTTATTTCCTCACTTCTCTAGAGTGTGTAAGGCAAGTCAATTGTCATCCTAATTCTAAAAGGAAATAACAGATTTGAAATATTATCACTGTCAAATATTTGGATCTATCTATCTATCTATCTGTCTGTCTGTCTGTCTGTCTGTCTGTCTGTCTGTCTGCCTGCCTGCCTGCCTGCCTACCTACCTACCTACCTACCTACCACATTATAATTCCTATGTGCATATCATAGGGTACTTCCACAGAAGGCTTTTTTCCAACACCTACTACTGATCTATGGGTTTCAAACTGCAGTTAATGTTTTCTGTCTCCACTTCAATCAGAGTAATGCTGGTGTGTTTCTTTGTGGTGCTGCTGCTCTGTGAATTTGAAATTTTTCTATTGATTAGAAATCTTGACCCTCATTGTTGTATGGCTCTTGAACAAAATCTCCACTACCCTAAAACTTCTGATACTGTGGTGTCATGCCAAGGCAATATTTAAAATGCAACACCTTGGTATCTTTACAGCTTTCCCTTAGCAACCACTTCATGTCACAAACAAAAAACTATGGAAAGGAGAGAGAAAAACAAAAAATATATTTTCCCTTTTATATGGTTTGGGGCTAGGGGATTTTTATGGCTCCAGGATGGTAATTGTTTAGAGCATAGTACCTACATATTTTTGCACTCTTCTATTGGTTAACTCAAATAACATGCTTCAAGCTGTTTTGAGGCCAACAGATGTAAAACAATATCACATCAGTTTCTCAGCAGAAGAACATATACCAATAGATAACAAAATTATTGTTTCAGTGCACAGAATATGTATGTCTTCATAGCATGTGGAAGCATGAGAAGCCATTTTTAATATCTCCAAAGTTATTCTAAAGTCCCATAAGTACAGTATACATACTGGTTTTGAGGGGATTGGTCGTAATGTATTAGCTAAACATTGTATCTTGGCCAATAGACTCAGGTAAGTAAACCTAAGCAGCTTATGTTTAGCACTAAAGGGTCCTAAGAAGAGTTTCTTTCAGTCAGCTACAGTATATGTTCTAAATGTGGCCTAGTAAAAGTTGTTTTTTGGTACCTTTATTTGCACTGTTCATTTTCTTTTTATTCTTCTTCTAGCACATAACATGTTCTGTTTTAACTAAGAGTACAGTATATTGTATTTTGGTTCTAAGAATATAGTCTAATGAAACTGAACTACATCTGGACTTTTAGTTACAGGAAATCTTTAGTAGCTAAGGAGTTAATAGACAACCTTGCAAAGTATAAATGAAAGCTCTGTGCTCTCCTACTGGGTTTTGGATTTATATGGAATTGGAAGCCTTATATTTAGTATAGCAAAGAATCTATACTATAGAATAATTCCTTGCGTTATTGCAAGAATTAAAACCTCTTCTTCAAAAGACAGTAGATTGTACTTGTGTGCTTGATATGTTTAGTGTACTAATATAAAGCTAGTTAACTTAATTCCCCAGCCCAAGCCTACTAAAGGTCGTATGCGAATCCACTGTTTGGAAAATGTGGACAAAGCCCTGCAATTCCTCAAGGAGCAGCGTGTGCATTTGGAAAACATGGGGTCTCATGATATCGTTGATGGCAACCATCGCTTGGTGCTGGGCCTCATCTGGACAATTATCCTGCGCTTCCAGGTGAGTTTTCCGGAATCATTAGTAGGAAACTGGACAAGTCTACAATAGGGAATTTTCAGATATGCATTTGCTTATTCACTATTGAGAGTTTATTCTTCTTCCCAGTCTCACCATAGTGTAAAGACTGATGTAGCTGGAACTTCATTATCTGTTGAAGTAAATATATTAGTCCTATATTTTCCTTATGCAACTGAAGAAGGTAGCCCCCCCCCCCAAAAAAAAGAAAAAGAAATAGCAGCTCTTATGACTACTGGATGGAAAATTCTCCTGTAAGCAGGGGGCAAGGGAAGCACAAAGAGCATACTGCTGAAATCTAAGAATGCATAAAAGTATTGTTTTTTTTTTTTTCAAATAAAAGCAGCAGTTCCATTGCTATTGAAAAAAACTCTCTTTATGGATTTTTCAAATCCTACAGAAGGTTTTGGTGGAACTGTCATCAGCAATTATTTCAGATGTGGACCTATACACAAACATACATATGTACACAAACTGTTGTTTGATAAAAGTTCCTGTCATATTGGCCTTTGGGCCACAGATAAAAACCAGTCAGTTACTCATGTCTGTTCTGACATTAGTGGAAATAAAAAAATATGTGCTATTTTCAAAGCAGCATTTTCACCCTTCTCTCAATGCAATTTGTGTGGATCTAGCACATTTAATTTACAGTGTAATTGATGATACAGCTAACAGGCTGGTACTGACATCTGTTGGCCACTTGCTGCTGCAAACATATCTCTATCCCTGCAGTTGTGGAGTGCTGTCCTCCATGGTCACTCTTGGCTTCTGCAGAGGCATTTGCCCAAGTAAAGTTTGGCCAGCATTTTCCTAAACACTTCCTAAGTCTACATGGGCTTCTTGTATTCACAGGTTTTAATTGTCTTTAAAAGAGAACTAAACTTATCTTTAAAAAATAGGACTAGCTCTCTCTTGAGTGTTGCACAGGAGATCTAATTTCTGCCATCAGCAAATGTATTACAGGTTTGCTGCTGCTTCTGCCTACTAAAAAGGATTTTGCTGTGCTGCTTACTGTTTTTATTATGGCAAGAGGGGCTGTTTTTCCTATTACTACATCATTATGCCTATTAAGCTATTTCTGGGAGTAGCTACTTTTGCTGCTGGCAGTGCCATTCTTTTTCAGCACTATTTGAACCTGGAGCTGCTTTTATTGATGGCACCTTTCTCTTTTATTCTGTGTTGACAAGTTATATGGGGTAAAGCAGGAAGAGTGCCTTCAGTGCTCCTCACTGCTCTTCCACACCTGTATGTGTTAAATTAGACAACTTGACTTGCAGCTATACGTGTGTTCAAAATACCAGTGGTTTTTCTTGCTGGCAGATGACATTTGTTGGGAGGGGAAATTTGTTTTTGGACATTTGTTAAGCTAGAGGAATCTATCAATTGCTTCTCTCTTGTTAGGAAGGATTGGTGGATAAAATTTTCCTGAACTATTTGTGCCCCAATAATTTTTTCTTACTTATTTTTAATGATGCAAGGAGAAAGGCAAGAAAAGTTTTCAATAAGAGTATGCCTGTAAGTCTTACAGTTGCTCAGAAGAAAATTCCAGAGTTCAGTTTGATTCCTCAGAATTGCAAATACAACTATTGGGAAAGTGAAATAACTGTTGGCTGATTTCCTTTTTTGTTGGTATCATGCCAGTGGGTGCATTATTTTAAATAGGCACACCACACCAATGTAGTTATGTTTCAGGTTTTCTGTGCTGCATTTCATAATATTTCTATAGCACTTGTTAATTTTATGTTGTAAATTGATATGGGAATTTATTGAGAAATTCCAAAAGAAAGAGTGACATAATATTGTAAATTCTTGAACAAACTTGTTTTCATTAGAACTGCTGGGCAGAATTAACAAGCAATCTATAGTATATAATAGTTTTAAAATAGCATGGAATAAGTGTTGTGGAGAATATTATATAAAAAAGAGTTTTATTCAAGGCTACAAGGGTGAGGAACATGGCCATTCTCCCACTGATACTGTATAAACCAGGAATAATTTAGAACTAATTAGAAGACTGAGATCCTTTGTAAAACACAGACACAAAAATTAAAAAAGGGATAATTCCATATTTAAACAATGTTGCAGATAATTTTTTTGTAATGCAGTTGTTTTAAGATAATCCCTATCAAATTTGTCTTTTCCAATGGTTAGAGGAGAAATTGATTTTGATGGCAAAATTATTAGTTTAATTGTAAAATAGGTGATTGGATTTGTAAAATAAATAATTCAAATGATCATATAGTTAATTTTGTCTATTACCGTAATCATTGGAAAGATTCAGGACTTTATCTTAAAATAGTTCCACCAAATTAAAGTGAGTTTCTTCCAGATTGTAATATTTGAGGATTACAGCCATATGTGACTTGTAAATAAATAATCTATTTAAAGAAAATACATCTCAAAAATAGTTCAATAAAAAAACAATCATAAACATTTACAAGGCACATTCAGCAATTTGGACTGGATTTTTGGAAATGTTATAATAATGTGAAGGGAAATTAAGCAAGTACTTTTTACCTTTCTTCAACCCAACTTTCTACAAATCATTTGTGGTAAGATCTCTATCAGGTTATATGTGTAAAGATCAGAGCTATACAAATAAAAATATGCACAAAATAAGCATCTGAAATTACAATTATTGTGGAATTTTTTCCTTTTAATTTAGATCCAGGATATCATTGTTCAGACTCAAGAAGGCCGGGAAACCCGTTCAGCAAAGGACGCATTATTACTTTGGTGTCAAATGAAAACTACAGGGTATGATATTGCTTTTTTTTTTCTCTAAACACATTGTGACTTGCTGATTAAACCTATGGTATCAGCTAGGTAAATACTAAATATTAAGCAAATGTACACAGAATCTATGAAAACTGACCAGGTTTCCACCCAGTTCATGTCAGTGATAGTATAAAACCATTAAACGATCAAATTAAAACACAAGGACAGAGCTGTCTAGTGCAAAGACAGAAAACTGTGCTTAAATGTTCCCTGTTGAAAATCCAAGTACTTTGCTTGGAGCCTTATTTGATTTGTAATGTATTTAAGGAAATTGGTTTTTGACTTTTTGTTTGAGATTGGTTGAAAAAAAAAATACTCTGCCAATATTACAGTATTGATAAAAGTGTTAGTGGTGGGGAGGAAGAGAGCAAAGAATTAAGATAGCTAGTATGTGAAATTCTCCTGTTCATCTTCTAGGCATGCTGACATTCTGTTTCAGGTGGTATGGATGGAATCAACTATGTGAAATGTGATAACATTTGCAGAACTCACAGTAGAATTCAGCATTGTTTTAAAAAAATTGCCGCAAGAGAATACAAGGAACAACGCAGCTAAAAAAAAAATCTGAAAATGAGACTTGGATGTTAGAGCAATCCTTTTGATCATCATGTGGGGAAGGGGGTGGTGTACTTCCCCCCCCTAAAATATTATTCTGTGTTCAGTCTTCTCCAACCTGATGTTCCAGATAGATCAGACAAACCTGTGACTCAGAGTTCCCAGTCAGCATAAGGCTAGAGAAAGTTACTGTTTATCATCTGCAAATTTTGGGCTGGGTGAAATCACAGAGATGTTAAAGGAATGAACTGAAATTGACAGAAGGGTTACATTTAGTAAATTTCAGTTGTGGTGGAATGTAAACCTAAGCCTGGAAACTGGGAAGGGATGAACAAATTGTTAAGGGAGAAGAAAGTTTGGGAAATATTTCTCAGTCCTAAGAAGGAAGAAAGCAAGAGAAAGCCAAGAGACCCTCATCTGATTTTGTTTGGTATAAGAAGTAGTAGAGAGAAATTTAGTCAGGCTTTCTAGATTCTGTTATACCTACAATAATAACAAGCATTCTTGACAACTCTATGCTTCCTGTTTCCTGATTGTGGCTTCCTCTTGGATATTGAGCATTTGAGACTTTTCTCCCTTATCTCATCTATATATATATATATGTATGTTATCTTGAGTTTGGTGCACCCTGTCGGCCCAAATATGGGAGAAAGGAATCTTTTGCCTGTATCTGCTCAAACTAGAGCCATCCACAGGCTTAGCAGTCGCAACTGCGACATCATATGTGTTTTTCAAAATTTGGATTGCTAACAAAGAAGTAAGGGAGAACTGGAATAGCCATTTTGAACTTTTTAGTTCTTTTCAACCAGACATACCCTTCTGAGATTCGAACCTGGGCTGTCTGCATGTTAGGCAGATGTATTAACCTCTAGACCACAGGCTCTTTCTCACTTTGTTTTCAGCTTCGTGCTTCTAGGAGGCACGTGCTCCTAGAACAGTGGTTCTCAACCTGTGGGTCGGGACCCCATTTGGGGTCGATCGACCATTTCACGGGGGTCGCCAAGCAAGGCTGTCCGCCATTTTTTTTGTCCACCATTTTCCCCCCCTTTTCCGGTGGGTGCCTTACTTCCCTTGGGCTGGGCCAGCTGGTGGTCGGCTGCTCCGTCTCTGCCGCTTGCCAGCTACGCCTCGGACGGCGCAGGGGGCGGAACCACGCATGTGCGGCGCTCCCGGGCAGGGAAAGTCCTCGACTTACGACCGGTTGGGTAGTCCTCGACGTACGACCAGTTTAGTCCTCGACTTACGACCGGTTTAGTCCTTGACTTACGACCGGTTGGGGTCGCGGCATTAAAAAGGTTGAGAACCACTGTCCTAGAAGCACGAAGCTGAAAACACCAGCCTGAAGATGACAAATGAGACTTCGTCGAAACGTCGCCAAGACACTTCCAATTTTACGCGGGAGAAAACCCAAATAACCAAAGACCTACACACACACACACACACACACACACACATATACATACATACATACATACACACATTCCTTCACATTTTTCCTGAACTTTGTATAGCATGCAAAGGACTGACAGCTCCCTTCTTAACATTTCACATTCACTCCATGGGCTCTGGAAAATGTTTGTGACTTGTAATTGGTGAAGACAAAGCTAAGGAAAAGCTACTTCAATAGACTAAGAATTGAAAATCTAATGAGTTATGATGCATAACTCACAAACTATTTTCAGCACCAATACTATTAAATAAATTAACCCTTTTAAAAGTAGTACATTCTCATGTTAGTAATGGGAAATGAGGCATAGAGACAGTATACGTAGATATTTCCCCTTAAAACAAAACTATGTGTGTGATTTATATTGAAAGTAAGACTTCTGGGAGGCTTGTTTTATTTCAAACATCTGCTGAACATTTATATGTAATTATGTTTCTTTCAGGTCCCAAGCTTCTTCCTTTTCTTGTGCAACAGTCGAAATCTCTTCAACTGCTTAATTGTTTTCAACATTATGGGCAGGGTGTTACTTTATGGAACCATGTTTCTTTTCTCTCAGTGGAAAAAAGTATCTTGAGATGAGCTGCTTTTTTCATTTATTCTGTTGTAAAATAGACAGAATGGATAGAAATGTCCTGTGTGCTTTAGGTAACCCAATGTTACCCATCCTGAATTATTATTTATCCACCCAAGCTAAATATCATTTTTCCAATGGCAGAAAATCTGTACTTCCAAATACCAATTAGAAATGGCTTGTTTAACTGAAAGTGGCTCTTCTGTCTAGAGAAAAGTGCATCCTATACTTCATTAGATTATGATTTTGTAGCTGTTTTTTTATGACTGATATTGTTTGTGTCCCCTTTCTTTATCTTTGTAATATAGCTATCCCCATGTTAATGTCACCAACTTCACCTCCAGCTGGAAGGATGGTTTGGCTTTTAACGCTCTTATTCACAAGCACAGGTAAACATAGTCTACAAAGACCTAAGCTTTTTAATTTTAATTTTTTTTTTTGCTAATGTCTAGGTTTGACTAATCACCAGAGTGCATAGCCGCACACTTGCTACAGAGGCCTATTAGCCACCATTGCTCCATATGAATTTTGCCTCCTTACTTCCAAGGTCAGGTGCAAAACTGACTAGTATCACCCTCTCCATTTCTGACGCTCAGAAATGAGTAGCGTGGCTTATGTAGCCAAAATTGCACCATCTTCACCGAAAAAATATTGACAGACCCCAAGGTTTGAGGACTATTATACAAAACAGGGCATGGGGAAGGAGGACCCAGTAGTCCGTATACTGTATGGTAACAGGTTTACTGATGCAACAGAAGGATGCAGAAGATTTTGGATGAAGTGGTATGCAGGCATGGCTGGAACCTTGATCAAGGGCACACCATATTTGATAATTTCAAATTAATTTACCATAGCAGAGCTGGTACCATATTGTGTTGTTTAAAATACATGGGTTTTTCCCCCCTTCATTTCTAGGCCTGACCTAATTGACTTTGAAAAATTGAAACACTCAAATGCCAGGCACAATTTGGAACATGCTTTCAGCGTAGCAGAGCGACAACTTGGTATCACACAACTTCTTGATCCAGAAGGTGAGTGCACTTGGCTCAATGCCGGGCCTTTTTAAATTGAGAATTGAGCTGACAGGGCAGAGTTAAGAATTATATAGAATAATGATAGCAGAAGCTAAGTAATTAGTGCATAATATTTGCCTGTTAAAGTTCATGAAGCAATTCAGTCTATAAACATGGATACTTATTTGTTTACGCAATAGTGTATTCTTAAGCTGTCAGGAAACTCTCTGTATATAAGTCCTCTGAAATGAATGAGAATGAGTCCTGTCTCTTTGCCCACTTCAGAGCTCTTTTTCAAACAGGCATTTATTTTATTTACAAGGCTTAAAAGCGTTACAATCAAATCAACTCTGAGCAATGTACAATTTCCCAAGTCTGTAACTTGGTTAAAATCAGACAAGATAAATAGACAATATAAATATAACATTTTGTATATCTTGATAAAAAAACTAAAAACCACAGATCACAATACAACCACCTTATTGTCGAAGGATTAGTCAGAGCAACCCTGCTTCTGCATTTTTAGGTGTAGTATCATTAATACTTTTAATTATGATATTTTGTCAATTATTTTTGTTAGAATTGCTTTTAATTTTGCTTGATCTATTTTTTTATTTATAAGCTGCCTTGAATTTTTATCATAGAAAGGTGAGATTCAGTATCTAATTAAATATCTCTGCTGTGCGTAGTCACAAATTAACTATGTTGTATATGATACAGAATTTTTTGTTGAGAGATTCATTCTTTCAGTTGCCTTCCATAAATGCATTTCTGTAAAACATTCCATGTCGTCATCTTTTCCCCTTCATTCTCTTTGCTTAACATGAAAATATGTTAATTTTTAAAAATACCCTGTCATAGTTATTTTATTTTTGAAAATGTTTAAAAGGAAATCTGACCTAGAGTATTATGAGAAGACTGTCAGAGGATTGGCTCTGATTCCTTACTGCTGGGTGAAGCAACATGATGGCTGCAGGCACAGCTGTATCCGCCGCGGACACTCCCACACTTCCTTTGGCGCTCAGCAGGCCCCTTCCACCCCACCTGGTTTCTTTATCTTCGAAAGCTGGAAACCGGCAGAGTTCAGACTTCAAATCTTGCGCTCATTCACTCCCTACGTATATTTAATCTCCACTGGGGCCTAGGGCATTTTTCTAAACAAAAAAGAGCATGGAATAACTCAAATCTTGATCTTTTCATTTCTGCTCAGTCTTCCATTTCTCTGAAACTAAAATAAAAGCAGGAAAAGTTACTGGCAGGTAATAGCAAGAGAATCAGTTTGTTTGGGGCGGGGGGGGGGGGCGGAGGAAAGAAAAAAGAGATGGAAGCCACTGAAAAATCCACTCAGCAGAGGAGTGGAATAATATGAGAACAGAAAGGGAAGCTGAAGCTAGGAAAGCTAGCGCAGGGAGAGAAACAAATGAAAAGCAACCTTTGAGAAGAGGACAAGTGTGCAAGTGGCAGGGGTTTGTATAATAATTAAGGTTGCAGTTGTACAGTATGTTTGAAGCATTGGAAGGAGAGATTGGGTTTGAAAAATGAAAAAGGCATGCTTTTGTGTGTTGACAATGAAGGATAGGGGTTTTGTTTTTGTTTTTTTGATATTGTGGGACATCGGGAAAGCTTCATGTATTTGAAGTAAACTATTTTGGAGGTCTTCTTCCTACCTGGGAAAATAACTTCATTAATCTTGATTTTCAAATAATGTATTTAAGTTTAATTTAGGCATAATTTATGAAAGTTGTCCAGTCCTTATCTCTGAAATGAGCTTCCTACTCATTAAGTTATCGTAGTTCATAAGCCATGACTTATGGTTTAGTGTGTTGGGTGGACTTTGCTTATTGTAGTTTATTCAGAGCACTATGGTTAAGCACATCATGTCTTCCCACAATAATGTGACTCAGCCATTTTGTGATTGTACCCAGGTACTTTTTATTCACATGCTCAAAAAGATTGATGATCCTTCAACAAAGCATGGCTGAACTTCCCAATTCAGTTTAATAGAGGGAACAAATCCAAGCTTTACTGATTTGTAGGTATAATAAAAAAGAAAATTCTTAAGGTAGAAAAACTCTCATATTGAATTTATCTATACATATAAGTAATTATCAGATTAGCAAGATAGAATTTACAACTAATAGTTAAATAGCTAATTTATGATCAGTCATACATTTCTCTAATCCTGTACTCATTGATAGCTAATCTCTGACCCAGTTTTGATGATAATCCTGCTCCCAACATTAACAACTTTTACTTTGAGTATGTGCAGATTGCTTCTGCTTCATTACTGAGGAAAAATACGGGCCTCTAGCAACTACAGATAGTCCTCGACCTATGACCACAATTGAGCCCAAAATTTCTGTTGCTAAGTGAGACAGTAGTTAAGTGAATTTTGCCTCATTTTCTTGCCATAGTTGTTAATGAATCACTGCAGTTGTTAAGTTGGTAACACAGTTGTTAAGTGAATCCGGATTCCACACTGACTTTGCTTGTCAGAAGGTCACAGAAGGTGATCACATGACCCCAGTACATTGCAACTGTCATAAATATGAATCAGTTGTAAAGCATTTGAATTTTGATCATGCAGCCATGGGAATGTGCAATGGTCGTAAGTCTGAAAAATGATTATAAGTCACATTTTTCAGTGCAGTTGTAACTGAACAGTTGCTAAATGAACTGTTGTAAGTCAAGGAGTACGTGTAATATTGGATAATCTAGTTAATTTACAGTATGTAATGCTTAGATTATGCAGATTTCACCTATCATGTCTGTTTAATAAATTCATGTCCTGGTATTCAGTACAATAACGTATGTTGCTACTTTTAAGTCTTTTAAAAAATCTTTGCCATAGATTCATTATAATTAATAATGTAATCATTTGCACTTTTTGGTTGTTTATCAGGGACTGTTCTCTATATTATTCTCCAATAAATAAATAATGTTCATGCTAGAAAACAAGTTTTTGTTAGCCTAGATATACTCCCATGCCTTCTGTTGTTTTTGTACTTTGAAATCAACAAGGTGATCCCATGGTGAACACTGTTGATTGTATAGCTCTCTCCAAAATATAATCTCTCCAACATAGTTCAGACCAAACTCCTATCTGCTGTCAGGTTCTGCTTTCAAACAAATAATTTTCTCTTGGAAATCTATTTGCTGCTCAGATGTTTTTACGGAGAATCCAGATGAGAAATCCATTATCACTTATGTGGTTGCTTTCTATCACTACTTTTCGAAAATGAAGGTGCTTGCTGTGGAAGGGAAAAGAGTTGGAAAGGTAAGAACACAGTCGTATAACTCTTGAGCAACATAATTTTTAATATTTTAGAATGGTTTCTTAGCATTCCTTCTGTCATCTGAGCAAAGGTAGACGATAAGGAAGCAATAGCAGGCTGGAAATTCATGGCTTTTTTGTAGCCCATGTCTATTTTTATGATGCATGTCCACAACTGCATTTTAAAAAAAAACTATACAGAAGCCTGGTCAATAGTATTGCTGTGGCTATTATCAGTATAGCCCTTATTTGGAAAATTAGCTGCCGCCTTACACTGTTTTCAATCTGTACCAGGTTACATTACAATGCTATGGACTTATTTGTTTGTTTGTTTGTTTGTATCTATCTTTATTATTTTTACAAATAACTCAGGACCATTGCTTCAATCTCTAGAAACCAAGTTACATTGTAGTGCTATGGACTTTACGTATGTATATATGTATACATAATATACATATATACTCTATTATTTTTACAACTAACTCAAGATTTCATTGGTTCCTGTTCACCAATATGCAGCAGGAGGCTGAAGCAATTGAATCTGCAGGATTAGAAGGTGGAGGACCCATAATTTGGGAAATTATAGGAAATATTTCAATTGAACTACAAGGATACCACATAAGGAAAGTCTGCCTTATGGAATGTGTGCATATATTTGTATATAAATTAATGTAACAAATGTATGAACTGGAGAATGGAATATGGGCATGATCATTCTTGTTCAACAACTCAACATTTGGTACAATGCTGCCAGTATGAAAGCTGTCAAAGATTTCCTTTTGGAGCCTTAAAGCTGGTGGTTCTTAATCTGGCTTGACACCCTTGCATGCCTTGCAGAATTTCTAATGTGATGAAGTCAGACTTGTTGACACTGTGGAAAATTTCCATCTGCCGGATCTGGAAGTTCATAAAGGTCTTACTTAACATATTTTCAATAGCAGCAGCATGTGCCAATTGAGCCGCAGTATGAGTTGTTTGGGTTTTTCTCCCCCCCACCACCCTCAGGTAATGGACCATGCAATGGAGACTGAGAAGATGATTGATAAATACAGTGGATTGGCTTCAGACCTGCTGATGTGGATAGAACAGACCATTACCAATCTCAACAGCCGCAAGTTTGCTAATTCTCTGACAGGCGTGCAGCAACAACTCCAGTACTTCAGTACATATCGCACAGTAGAAAAACCACCCAAGTAAGCACTTTCACCTGGAAGAAAGTGGTTTTTTTTTTTTCTGAGAGAGAGGGAAAGACGCGAAAATTATGCCTATCTTCATTGTGACTCATTTGGCTATGATCTGAGGCTTTCAGAAGTGTTAAACATTAGCACATCATGTCGTTGATGATGTAATGAATAAGAGTGAGGAGATGGCTTGAAGGAGAAGAAGATATCTTGCAGGCTGCAGTCTTTTTTCTTGTTTCAAACTGAATGAATTTGAAGAATGTTGATATAAAATCAGGTGAAATAAATCATCTGATTTAATATTTCAAGATATTATTCAAAAAGTCTCTTCCATTCCCTCCAAAGATGTTAAGTAACAATTTGTGAACCAAATGTCACCTAATATTAGTTTCTTCTAGAAAGTAAAATGTGTAGAAAGGTATAGCTTTAGAAATAGAACCCTTAGGACAGTGATGGTGAACCTTTTAGAGACAAAGTGCCCAAACCGCAACCCAGAACCCACTTATTTATTGCAAAGTGCCAGGATTGCATCAAAATTGTGGTGCCCTCGGGGGCGGGGGGGGTGGCCCACTGGGTGGGCGTGGTGGGTGGTCGTAGCCACCTCAATGTTGCTCGTGGGGGGACACCTGTGGGGGCCGGGCAGGGTTGGGGGAGATCCAGAGGTTGTCTGGTGGGTGAGGCGGTGGGCAAGAGGCTCGTCCTGCGGGGTGAGGCAGAGGGCAGGGCAGGGGTACCTTTGCCACGGGGCAAGGCAAGACAGGGGCCTGGGCGACTGCTGCCTGACACCATCGGCCCCCGCACACAGATGCCAGTGAGCTCATGGGGGCCGACGGTGTCCATCAGCAGCCACAGCCTGCTGGCCCCTTGACTGGCGCACTCTGGGGCTCCGCATCCCACTGCCAATACTGGGCCAGCCCTCCAGCAGCAGGTGGTGTAGGGGGGCAAGTGATGCAGACCGCTGGACGCGCTTACCCGTCCCATCTGTTTTTGCTTGCGGTTGGAGAGCAGATCGCTGCTGGTCATCTTGGCCCCCTCGCAGATCTTGCCCTTGGCCCGTGCATGGAGCCTGTTCCCCTCGCTCACCCAACCTGTGCGAGCTGCTGGCAGCGGCAGTGCACGTGCCCACAGAGAGGGCTCTGAGTGCCACCTCTGGCACGCGTGCCATAGGTTCGCCACCACTGCCTTAGGATGTAGATACATTACACAGAATGCAGTCTGATACACACTAACATAACAGTCGACGCCACTGAATAACTTAAGAGCTAATTCTTAGTAAATATTAGTGGAATTGCCACTACCCTGAATTTGTACTACCCAGCTGGATTAGCAGCAGTGAAAAATTCCCAAATGTGCAAGATCTTAGGCACACTAATGCATAAGTGCCTGTTACTGCTGAAACCTCCCATTTAGTGTTTCAAATCAATTGTTGCTGTGATGGTGGATCGAGTCTCACAAACAGGTTCTGTTAACGCTGCTTTTGACAAAAACGGTGGCAATACTCTAATCTCTGCACTTCTTTACACTGAAAAGAAGAAGAAAAAGCGCTCTACCATCTAATAATTCCCCACATAACTGCATCCCACAAGGGAGGAATCTGGGTACTATAAGTAGTCCCTGACTTATGACCACAGTTGTTAAGTGAATCATGTGGTTGTTAAACAAAACCAGCTTTCCCCATTGACCGTTTGTTGGATGCCGGCTAGAAAGATCACAGAGGGCGATTCCCATGGCCCTGGAATGTTGCAATCATCATGTTAATTGCCAGTTGCTTGAATTTTGATCATGCGACTTTGAGGTTGCTGCAACGGTCTTGAGTGAGAGGACCTGTTGTAAGTTATTTTTTTCGGTGCCATTTTAACTTTGAATGGTTGTTAAACAAATGGTTGTAAGTTGAGGACTACCTATATTTCAAACATAGCTGACTGAAAAATGGGTTCCCAAAAATCCATTTGGGTTGCTAAAAGCAAAGGAAAGCAAATGTACTTGTCCTTTTGCAAAAAGAAGAAATTGCTGTGAAAAGAAGAAATTGTGACAAATGCAGAGTTCTCTGAATGCTTAATAATGCTGTTTTTCTGAGATCCCTCCTTCTGCAAATTATGAAAAATACAGTTAGAGGCTTTCTCTGCCGCAAATTAACTATTTCAGTATGGAACAAGAAGCTTGATCTAATTACTGCTTATTCCCTTTCCTGCTGAAGAACTGATCAGAAATTCTGCCTAAGTTTTCTGTAGGTTTGGATTTCAGCCAATGCCTCTAAAGGTTGAATTCCAATATTTTAAAGCCAGCTTTCTTCTCTCCTTCCTTACTATTGTACAAATTGCAATAGCCACCTTAATAAACACTAATTAGTCCACTGAAAAGATACTTCAAATACAGTATTCCTTTTTAATTATTTTGTTGAAATCCTGATTCAGAAAAATGTATCTCAGTGACAGGGTTGCATGCATTACATCACTCTTCTTTGAGATCTTTTAGACTCTAAAGATGTTTTCTTATATTTGTCTGTTCTAGATTTCAAGAGAAGGGGAACTTAGAAGTTCTGCTTTTTACCATCCAGTCCAGAATGAGAGCCAACAATCAGAAAGTGTATACTCCTCATGAAGGAAAACTCGTGTCTGACATCAACAGGGTATCTAAGATACAGCCTTTTAATACAGTTACATCCTTAATCAGTGAAGTTTTTTCTCCCTCTCTTTCTTAATTCTCAGCTTGATGGTTGGAAAAGTGGGAAAGCCATTTGTTTGCATGTAGAAGAATGCAGCTTCAGTCTTGAAGTTTATGTAGCAGGCCAAGAAAAGTTCTGAATTGTAAAAGAGTACAAATGCCAACTCTTAATAGTGTTCTAATTTTATTCTATATTATCACGTGTCATTGTAGGAAAACTTTAAATGGCAGATTGGGAAAGATATTGTGCAGTTATATAACTAACATGGAAAATGAGTGTTAAATAGATTTACATTTATCTAATAGTTATATACGTTTCTGTAGTTTATTTAGAAAGCATTCTTATTTGCACAGGCCTGGGAGAAGTTGGAAAAGGCAGAGCATGAACGGGAACTAGCACTGAGAAATGAGCTTATAAGGCAGGAGAAGCTGGAGCAGCTTGCCCGACGCTTTGATCGCAAGGCCGCAATGAGAGAGACCTGGCTTAGCGAAAATCAGCGCCTTGTGGCACAGGTAATAAAGAACTGTCTGGGACTTTACAGTGTGTGTAATTATACTTTCTGAAAAACCTTCTGCACATAAAGCATTTAATCCAAAGCCAGAAAGTACATACGTTTTGATCTTTGGTATCTCGGTAATAAATAATTATTTTAAAACTCTCTTTTTTAATGGAAACACAAAATGTGAATGAAGCTTGTCATCTTGGGGAATACTATTTCTTACATTCAGAACACTTTGTGGCCTGAACTGTTGCCGGGGATAAACAAACAACATGGCGATTGCTTTAGAAAAAAGGTTGTAGTTTATTGAAGAGCCAGACCGAAAGATGGTTCTGGCAGGAAAGAGGAGAGAAAAGAGGGCTGAGCACATGTGGGCAGTAGGTTTTTATACCCTCTGAAGCCTTTTGTTTGAAGTTGCTTCCTGTTCCTGTGTTGAGGCTTTGTATTTCCTGTGTCACATATTCTGACCTGAGTCTGGGTGTGCCTTTCTGGTATTCTGATGGTGATGGGTTAGTCCTATTATGACCAACGATCATAACATATCCTGCTTCCCTGGTGCTGGGGCTAATGACTCTTAGAGTTTGGGTGGGGTATGCAGATTTTAGGTGTCTTTTGTCTTCTTAAGCTTCTAGCTCCAACTTTCCTGAATGGTTTACATCTGCATTTGTACAGCTTCTGCTTGGGGGAGGGAGACCTGGGGCTATCAAGGAAAACTGGACATGCTTTTCTGTCTCTTTCAGATTCTTGGAGGAAATATATTTTTCTGTCCTTTTAATATTTCCTTCTCTGGGGGGGGTGCTAACTTCCCACAGAACCATGTGGGAATTTTGTATACATGTGAGCAAATATCTCCCATTGAATAATATGTACATGAATCAAAGCCGGAACTGTTGGGACTAAACGTGAGCGAGCGTGTGGTGAACATGCTATATATACGTTCTATGTCCTGACCGTTAAAACGGTCACACAAGTGCACATGTAGGTTCTCCTTATTTTCAGCTCTTACTCTGATGATGTCAACAGCTAGTTGATGAAAGCTCAGTGATAAAAAGGCTATTTTACATTCTGGAGTTTATTAATTTTATTGATTTTTAAAGAAAATGTTTACACCTGGGGTTCAAGTATTCAAAATAATCAAAGGTATGAATCAAGTATATACATTCACCAGGATATTCCAAGTAGTCAATATCTAATATATAAAGTAAAATGGTTTTTCACAAGCTCTGAGTTTTTGCAAGAGGTTTTCTGAATGAGGGTTAGCAGGAGAGAGTTTGGTGGAAGTTAGATGGAGGATAAATCCAGAAATAGGTGCAAAACTTAAAATTTTAGAGAGTTGTGCATGATAAGTTTTCTAGTCCCATCTTAGACATCAAAAACCAGCTGGGTGACATTGGTTCAGTCATACACTCTCAGCCCAGCCCACCTTACAAGATTGTTGTGGGAAAAATAGGAGGAAGGATCATTTGGTTTGTTTGCTACCTTAAAAATCAAGCAAATAATAAAATGTAACTTGATTTGATCAAATTACACCAGCAGTATATTCATGGCTATGTGAGTGTCATGTGAAATGTATTTACGATGGAATATAAAATATCACGAATCCTTTGTACTTTGAAAATGGCCCGCTTTCCTATATCGTACTATTTGTATACAAATAGTACATTTTTACTTTGAATGTACTATTTGTATACAGTATTGCCATCCTGAAAATAGAATGAATGACCAAATGTTTCATAAATTATAATTCTAATAAACAGATTTTTATTGCATAAAAGTATTGACCTGCATATGATGCCGTTTTGTGGTTCAGTACTTCTCCATACAGGAGCAGGAGCATCACTTGTTGTCCAAGGAGTTTAAAGATCTGATTATGGAGTTGTTTGTTTCAATGGAGCTTTACAAAGTGAAGTGGTGCCCTGGTTCTTTTTTGCATTGCAGCAACTCCTCAATGCTACATTTGGAGTCAAGGTGGCTCTGCAAAGCGGCATCCATTTGCCCACCCTTTCAGCTTACCATAATGGATAGTTACAAACAAGCAGTTAGCAGGCCATTAAAGACCCCATATTTGCACCAAAAGCTGTGCTGTGTTATTTTACCACATGCATTCCATTTTGTGATGTTCAGTGTGAGCGACAACAGGCAGCAGAGATATTGCTGACACAACTATCTTTACTTGGGACAGGATAACTTTGGAAATGATTTGCCAGCTGTGGAGGCAGCAAAGAAGAAGCATGAAGCCATTGAAACTGACACAGCTGCCTATAAAGAACGGGTGCAGGCCATAGAGGAGGTGGCCAAAGAACTGGAGGTAGAGAATTACCATGACATCAAGCGCATCAATGCTCGCAAGGACAGTATCCTGCGACTATGGGAGTACCTCTTGGAACTGCTGCAAGCCCGGCGCCAGAGGCTGGAGATGAATCTGACACTGCAACAGCTGTTTCAGGACATGCTGCATAGCATTGACTGGATAGATGAGATGAAAGTAAGGAGCGGCCTGGCTTAGGACTTGGTGGATTGCTGGAGATAAATTGGAAAATGGGGATGGAGGCTCAAGTGCTGCATTATAACAGTGATTTAAGTTATTGATACATGTAAGGAATCTTACCAGGCTACTTAAAGTCTGATAAAAAAAACACATTGAAAACAACACCTCAGACTGATACCAACCTCATCAGCATTGATTGTGCTAGCCATTTCCCTAAAAATATCTTACATTTTATAAGGTGTTTAGAAAGCTACTTTGAAATGCTTCTTGATTAAGGCACCTTATCAAAAAAGCACTCGCCAGCTACATGGTTACTTCTGAATTTGCTGTACTTTCTAAAGGTTATTCATAAGCACTATCGGGTAGAGCATATTTTAATAATTTGACAGGATATAACAGAATAACAGAGTTGGGAAGGACCTTGGAGGTCTTTTAGTCAAATCCCCTGCTCAAGCAGGAAACCCATTTCAGACAAATGGTTGTCCAATCTCTTCTTAGAAATCTCCAGTGTTGGAGCACCTACAATTTCTGGAGGCAAGTCATTCCACTGATTAATTGTTCTCACTGTCACGAAATTTCTCCTTAGTTCTAGATTGGTTCTCTCCTTGATTAATTTCCATCCATTGCTTCTTGTCCTGCCTTCAGGTGCTTTGGAGAAGCACTTCTTTGTGGCAGCCCCTTAGATATTGGAACACTACTACTATGTCACCTCTAGTTCTTCTTTTTATTAAACTAGACATAATGTCAGGGCCCACTTCAAAACCTCATCCTAAGAGAGCAGAACTCGTGGAAGCAGTTTCTTCCAAAAGGAACTTTTATTAGGAGAAGCTGATAGCAGGCATAATAGACAGGATCTGCCGGTTTCCCACTCAGATCAATAGATTAAAAGTGTCCCAAGCAAACCCCACCCCAAAGTTCATCCAATCAGTTCGAATGGGCCAATCCCCAGGTGTTAAGTCCGTTGTGGGAAAGAGCAGATAACGCCAGGCTGTCTCAGGGTTGCAGTGATGTTTTGTTGGCTTTTCACACCTTTCCTTCCAAAAGCGGAGATAAACCAGTTGCCGAAGGCGCATTCCTTTCTTCTCCCCCCCTTCTAGCTGACATCAAGGGGAAAGATAGTTTACAGAGGAAGTGTGCAGAAACAGCAAAGTGTTACAGTGTAGCAATAGAGGAAAACAGAGCAATAACCCGCAATACTTTTCCCCTCTCCCCTCCAGGAGCATGGCAGAACCCAGAGGTGTAGAAAGAGTAGAGTTAGAATTAATGGTAGAAAAGGGGCCCCTTAGAATATGGGTTCTGACATATACCCAATTCCTGTAACTGTTCTTCATATGTTTTAGCCTCCAATCCCATAATCATCTTTGTTTCTCTTCCCTGCATTCTTTCTACAATCTGAACATCTCTTTTATATCGTGGTGACCAAAACTGGATACAATATTCCAACTGTGGTCTTACCAAGACCTTATAAAGTGGTATTAACACTTCACGTGATCTTGATTTTATCCTCTGTTAATGCAGCCTAAGACTGTGTTGGCTTTTTTGGCAGCTGCAGCACACTGGTGGCTCATATTTAGATGACTGTCCATTAGGATTCGAGGATTCCTCTTGTAGTTACAGCTTTTGAGCCAGGCATTACCTATTCTATACCTGTGCATTTGGTTTTTCTTGCCTAAATGTAAAACCTTACTTTTCTCTACATTGAATTTCATTTTATTAAATAGTGCCCAGTGTTCAAGTCTGTCAAGATCCTTCAGTATCTGTAGTTGCATTAAGGATTACACGTTGAGTGCGGTTGGTCAGACAGTTACAAATCCATCTGGTGATGATGCTATCTATCCCACATTTTTCTGTCTTATCAAGTAGTAGGTTGTGGTCTTCTGTATCAAATGCCTTACTGAAATCCAATACCTTATATCCACAGCATTTTGATGGTCCACTAATTTTGTCACCTGGTCAAAGAATGCAATAAGATTTGTCTGATATGAACTGTTTTTGACAAACCCATGTTGGCTTCTGGTTATGACTGGTTATGATGTCAAGGTGATAAGTCTGTAGTTTCCAGGATCCTTTCTCCCCCCCCCTTTTTTTTTTTTTTTTTTGAAGATGGGAACTACATCCACCCTTTTCCAGTCATCTGGTTGTTCCTTAGGCTCCAGGATGTTTGAAAGATATGGTTCAGTGGTTATGAGATCATGTCTACCAATTGCTTCAGAACCTTGGGGTGTAATCCCATGGGAGTACAATTTAGGAGTACAGTTTACATTGTTTCAAGAGCCTCTGTTTCTCCATCCAAATTTGTCTTCCCAAGTGTCTGCTCCAATAGGATTCAGAATGCCATGTTATAAGCCCCATAGGAAGAGACAAGTGTGTGCCCATAAAATAAATGTTCCCTAAATGATTTTTCTTAAACATGGACTGTTCCTGCTTTTTTGCCAAGATCATCCTAAACTGCTATTCCTAAAATAAAAAGGGGGGGGGGTCAAGCCTCCCCTCCATACTTAGTTGTTTAAAAGAAAGGGAGATACAGTTTCTTTTTATATTTTTTCAGGTAAAACTTTCATCTCCTGAAACTGGCAAGCATCTGTTGGAAGCAGAAGACTTGCTTCAGAAGCATAAGTTGATGGAGGCTGACATGGCTATTCGGGCAGAGAAGATTCATGCTGTCAATGCAGCTGCCCTTAAATTTGCCAATGGAGATTGTAAGTGTTTGCCAGATTGCTAAGAATGAGCATGTATCGCTGATGTTTACATCTATATAAAAGAAGAAGGGATGAGGAGGAACAGCCTATATCTAGTCTCTGGAAAGTTTCTTTTCTTACTGGTTGTTTGAAGTGAATGCTTGTATACACTTGTCAATATTTTTATTTATTTATTTATTTATTTTATTAAATTTATATCCCGCCCTTCTCCTTGCGGACTCAGGGCGGCTAACAATCGAATAAAAATACACAGATAACATTACAAGATTAAAATTAATTAAAAAGGAAATATTTAACTGTGATCTAATTAAAATATAATTAAAACCCCCTCTAAAAATTTCCCCTAGGCCAGTCCTGCA